GCTGTACTAATGCCGTGGGAGCCGGCGGATGGGAAACGCATCAAAGACGGGAGAAATAGTCATTATTTTAAAGAACTGTTGAGAAACGAAATGAGATAAGTAGGAAAAGTCCTCATTATATTTCCTAATTAAGAGATGAGTAAAGCCGTCAATGAGGGAATGTTTTCCACTTTGGGATTTCTCGTTGTTTACAGAATTGTTATTAAGTTTCTCATCCAAGTACCCTCTTTAAAATTTGTATGAAGTATTTAAAGTAATTATTTTAAAAATTATAAATTTCCTTTTGGTCCCTCAGGATTAGAACAGCCCAATAAGTGCTAATTAAACGCTTATGGGAGCACTGCTTGGCCAGGCTGGAAAAAAAGTATAGTTTGTGAATAGTCAGTTAAATGAAGGGCTTTTCATACTCTTTGTTCAGTTGTGTTCTGATTACATGGTCTTATCAGCTATGTATGTTAGTCAATATGTGTGTTATTAATTTTCCCACTATCTTGTTATGCTCAGCAGGTGGTTAATTTTTTCTTTTATAGCACTTAAGGAAGTAGTGCTTGACAATTTCCTAAAATCTCAGTATTCATTTGTTTTTTGTTCATCTAGTAGCTACTGAAATTTCTTCTTTAATGGAGACAAACAGAAAGCCTGGCTTGGTCTTCAATACGTCTTTGTAATAATGTCTGCTCGCCCCACTCCTACTCAGTATTGTGCTGGGCGTTCTAGCCAATGTAATATGTCAAGGAAAAGAAACAGTACGCATCTCGATTTAGAAAGGAATGAATAAACCTGTCTTTATTCACAGATGACACAACCATCTATATAGAAAACTGTGATATCCTCAGAAAAGCTACTAGAGCTAATGAGTAAGGTTCAGGGTTTAATGTCAATGTTCAAAAATTGATTATATATTTTAACAACAAACAAATCGAAATTTAAAAGGCAATAGCACTTATACTAGTATAAAAAAAGTACTTAGGGATAAATATAACAAAAGACATGGAAGAGTCGTACACCGTGTGAGTTTTGTATACTGCACAACATTGATGAGAGAAATAAAAGACCTAAATCGATGAAGACATACGCTGTGTTTGTGGATTAGAAGACTTAATATTGTTAAATTGCCAATTCTTAACTAAATCTATAGATTTAATTCAATCCCAACCAAATTTCAGCAAGCTTTTGTAGAAATGTATCTATCAAAATGCAAAGCATCTAAAATCACCAAAACAACTTTGGAAAAGAAAACCAAGTTTTAGGACCAACACTACCTGTTTTCAAAGCTTATTCTAAAGCTATAGTACTCAAGACAGTGAGCTATTGGCATAAAGATAGACAAATAGATCAATGGAGCAAAATAAAGAATCCAGAAATAGACTCATGTATAAGGATAATCGATTTTTGATGAAAGTGCAAAATCAGATTGGTGGAAAAAGAATAATCTGACAGTACTGGAACAATTGGATATCCATATGCAACAAAAATTTAGCTTCAATTCATACTTTGCATCATATACAAAAGTTAAGTGAAAATGGATCAAAGACATAAATATAAAACTCAAAACTGTTAAACTTACAGAAGAAAATATAGGGGAGAAAGCTTTGTGAACTTGGGTAAGGCAAAGATTTCTTAAAGTACCAAAAGCGTGATCCATAAAGGAAATTTGGACTTTAAAATTAAAAAATTCTGCCCTTTTCAAGATCATTATAAGAATGAAAAGATAAGCTACAGCCCAAGAGAAAAGTCTTTATGAAGCGTTTATCTGGTAAAAGACTTATCTTTAGAAAATGTAAAGAAATCTCAGTAAGGAAGTAACTCAATTTAGAAATATGGGCAAAAGATTTATACAAACACTTAAATAAGATATACAAGTGGCAAATAACATGAAAAGACGTTCCACATAATTAGTCATTAGGAAAGTAAAATTAAACCAAAATAAGATATCAGTGGCTAAAATTTAAAAGACTAACCATACCAAATATTGGTGAGAGTGTGGAGGAGCTAAAACTGTCATACCGTGCTGATAAGAATAACTTTGGATCACAGTTTGGCAGTTTATTTAAAGAGTCAAACATATACCTACTACCCAGTGGTCCAGCCGTTCCACTCCTAGGTATTTACCCAGGACAAATGAAAACATCTGTACAAAGACCTGCACACAAATGCTCGTAGCAGCTTTGTGATAGCCAGAAACCAGAAACGACCCATGCCCCCGTCACTAGGAGAATCGATAACCAAACTGTGGGATATCAATACAGTAGAATACTGTTAGCAGTAAAAAAGAATGAACTATTAATATTTGCAACAACATGGATGAATCTCAAAATAATTAGGCTGAGTAAAGGAAGCCAGACAGAAAAGGTTTGCATATTGTATGATTGCATTCGTATAAAATTCTGGGGAATACAGACTAGTGTATAATTACAGAAAGCAGAGCAGCAATTACCTGTGGAGAGGGAGGAAAGGCGGGAGGAGGAGTTAGTTATAAAGGACACTGAGATCCTTGGAGAGTGATGGTTATGTCCATTCCTTGATTGTGATGATGGTTTCATGAGTATATACATATGTCACAGTTTAACAAACTATACACTTTAAATATGTGCAGTTTACCGTATGTCAGTTATATCTTAATAGTTTTTAAAAAACACTGTAGGGAGATACCACTATGCTGCCACCAGAGTGGCCAAAATTTAAAAGACCCGCACCAAAATTGCCACTGATGTGGAGCAGCTGGAGTTCTCCCACATCCTAAGTAAGAATGTGAAATTGTACAGCCACTTCGAAGAAGTTACAGTTTCTTATAAACTAAATCTACACCTCGTCTGTGACCCAGAGGTTTCACTGCTAGGTCCTTATCAAGTGAAATGAAAACATGCATATAAAAAAATTCTTCTGCAAGAATGTTCATCCAGCTTTAGTTTCCAGCAGCCCAGGTGTCCCATCAAAGAGGATTATAAATAATTAAACTCTGGCATATTCTCGTAATGGAATATTTCTTGGCAACGAAAGAGAATATAACTACTGATACACTCAGCAACCTGAAAGAATCTTAAACATGCCGAGTAAAAGAAGCCTGACATAAAAGAGTCATTGTGTGGTTCCATTTATATGAGATCCTGAGCAGGCAAAACTAATGTATGGTAGAAAAAAATCAAAACAGTATTTGCCTCTGGGGAGAGGGGCACGAAGAATTTTCTGGAGTGATGAAAACGTTTCGTATCTTGATAGGAGTTTTGCTCATTCCACACGTGCATTTGAACAGCAGCTGTACACTTCAAATCTGTGCATTTCATCGAATGTAAGCTTTATAGCAGAGAAACAACAAATATCGAACTCTCTTTAAAGATATGAAAACTATATTTGGGGAAAGTTTACTGATATGTGAAATTTGAAATGCAGCAGAAAAGTGGGATGGATTAACAGGTGGGTAGAGGTACGGATAGATACGTGATAAAGTGTTAGTGATCGTGTGGTGGCGAGACCAGTACTCACTGTCGAATTCTTTCAACTTTAGTGAATGCTTGAACACTTTCATAATTCATAATTTTTAATGGAAAAAATCTTTTGTTTTATTTCTGTCACAGATCCAGACTTACTAGACTTATGAAAATACATAGCCACTGATTACTGAAATCTGACGTTTTAACCCTTCCTCCCCAAACTACACAATCAATAAATAACTATCCTTCATGTGACATCAGTTGATAGACATTACCAGAAAAGTCAGTGTTAGAGTCACGAGGCTTGGTCGTCACACCATTGGAGTGGCTTCGAATAGGGTCAGTGCGAGTGGCAGGGTGAGCAGAGGCTGAAGGCCAGATCTGCACGTGAAAGCCATCGCGTTACCCCTCTAATATTTTGGGAGGAAAGAAATGGTCGGGGGGAGGGATTGAGAGAATAGCAACCATGGGTAATGAAATCCACCATGATTTTATACTAAGTCCAAAACTATGAATGGAGTGTTTGTAATTATAAAATAACGAGATGAAATCAAGGGATAATAAAATAATCGAATCATTCTGTTCTGATTTCCATAGTCCTCAGATCTTTTCCAGGCCACTCCACCCAGAGTGATAACTGACTGCTCATATAAATCACTACTCTTTTTCTTCTTTGAAATTTACTAATAGAAGGCAAATGAATAGAATTTGAACCCGCTGTCATTTCTGGCTCTGGTGGATTACTTGAGCACTCACGTGTGTGAACCATCTTTTCCTGGTTTATATTATTTTGCGATCCTGTGTTCTTGGCTTTGCACTTGTGAATAATTGGGTGAAATCATCTCTAGCTTTCACAAAATATCACAGCGGTCTTTTTTCGAATTTTTTTTTTCCTTCGGTTTCTTAAAATACTAGGCTACTAAATAATGCACTTTACCTAAATAAAGCTATATTTATAACTTACAAATAACTGAAAATGAGAAGCCAGGTTGTATAAAACTAAAATGAAGAAAGTGAAGACAGTGCTCGTGGGTCCCCCTGAACAGAAAACTTTGAGCTGGTTTTCCACCTTGTCTGCTTCAAGTGATGGTCTCTTGCTGATACCTGAAGGATGTGAAGGAGGTAATGGGAGAAAAGGCAACAGAGAAATGTTCGCGGGCCTGAGACGGCTGCCTGTCCTACCCTGACCCAGCCTCCTCCTTGAATGGCTCACCTCCACCCAGCCACGTGTGTGCATGGCGCTGCGTATTCAAGAGTCATTTCACAGAACCGGATATTTAAGAGGGACCTTAAAGATCATTTAAGTCTAACTCACTCATTTTATAGTTGAAGAAACTGAGGCTCAGATCGAAGTACAATTTATTTTTATTGTAGCGTGAAGGAATATTAGACCCTCCCTAAGTAGTAAGCCCAGAAACTCATCCCTCCATTATTTAATTCAGCACATGTGGAATCCCTTAGTTTTTCTGTTGGGCATTAATTAGACCCTATGAATATGGTATTGAA